TGATGTAGAATGTAGAAAATCTGAAGAGCTTAATCATATTGATAGTAATGGATTGTCTCTTGTAGGGAATTGCCTACTGTTTTTGTAAGGTGAAAGTAAAAGAAAAATGAGGCTCCCTCCCATTCCAATTTATGGATGTGCTTACTCAGCAGTGTGCGTCCACACATTGTTTTGGTGAGCACTGCGATAACACACTGCTCTTACAGTTAGGTCATCCCAGCTGATGCTAGTAAACTTTCACTGAAAAATAATTTTACATGGACATATTAATCAATTTAATTGTCCAACATGTTAGGTAAGGAAATGGGTAACGGATAGGCATGTGTTGTCTCATTCGGGTCAATTGAAACACAATCAAAGTCATGATTGAATTATGATGATGGATGGACAGCTGTTCTCTAAAGAATGCATTCTGGTTGGTAGAAAGGTTACCACACTCATAGGAACAGTGTCCAGGTGCAATGGCCTTCTCTGGGAATCTACTGCCATCACACTCACAACAACAAAGGAGACGTCCAAGTGACCCCAGAGGTAGATTTACAATGTGTCAGCAGATTCCCCCCTCCTCCCTACACGCCACTGGATTTATAACATGACTGGAGACATTTTGGCTTGGCTGACTGACTTACCAAGGTCAAATTACAGCATCTTGCAGCCTGCTCTAGCCACATGATGAAAGAGTAATCATACAGAATCTTAACGTCACTCTGTAATATCTACCCATAGACTTCCGGCTACATCTGGGGACTTTTACACTATGGTTTCAATGTTGGGTAGAATTGAAATCCTACGAAGTCAGAGCCAATAGCTCCTTCGCATTGTGGTGTACGTGTCAAAGTCAGTCTGGAATATAACCAGTCTGATATTAAAAAGTTGTGTATAGGGATTGGGGTGGAAATATGGTTTTGGGAATCAAGAGTGGATCTATCTTAAGCATAGATTACAGTACAGGACATGGTGGTGATAGACTGATAGTATAGAATGATATGCTTTGGAAATCTGCCATTTTCTGTCAGATTCTGCACTTCATTCCTGGTTCAAGGACAGTTTGCAGAAAAACTCCAGCTGGTATTGTTGTCATGAAGTGATCATAAGCATAAGAAATGCACACACAATAGCTACACTCCTAGAAAAGGTGCTATTTAGAACGTAAAAGGGTTATTTGGCTGTCCCCATAGGAGAACCCTTTGAATAACCCTTTTTGGTTCCAGGTAGAACCATTTTGGGTTCCTTGTAGAACCCTTTCCACAGAGGGTTCTACATGAAACCCAAAAGGGTTTTACCTGACACCAAAAAGTGTTCTACCTGGAACCATAAAATGGTTCTCCTATGGGGACAGCCGAAAACCCCTTTTGGAACCCTTTTTTCTGAGAGTGTATAGTCCCTGTTGATAAAAATATTTTTGAATCCTATGTTTTACATTAAATGTTTCACACTGAAAAAGCCAGTGGTTCCAAGAATGAAGGGGGGAAAATTTTGGTTTTAAAAGCTCTAAATAAAAGAAGACTTATGGGCAATCTTGGTGTCATTTTTTCACATATCGTAAAATCAAAACATAAACAAAGTACATAGGCATTAATCCCTCAAAATGTGACAATTACTTAGTAAGGGTATGATTCAACTCATGATACTAATGGACTAAAATGTTACCTTGCAAAACAAGCACTAGCACAACAACACAGTGTCAATGTATCACATTTATATGGATAGAAATGCAAAAAAAGGGTATTACAATTGATCTGATTTGACTGATCAATTATAAAGCTAACTATCATCAACGTCATGCAATCATAGCAGCTTTGTCATTTTGACAAGGTAATTAGTATACAAATACTATGTTACCAGTGTATCTTGTGTATGGTTACAAAGTCAGATGATTTGGGAAGTTCTCAGTTCTTAGAGCAAAGGCATGCCAAAAAACATTACTGAGTGGGTTTGGTTTAGTCAGAAAATGTGCAGTATATGGATTCATGTTGTACAGTCTATTCAACAAATGTGAGGGTATGGGCCAGTATAAAAATAAAAATGTATTCACTAACTGTAAGTCGCTCTGGATAAGAGCGTCTGCTAAATGACTAAAATGTAAATGTAAATGTATGAACTTGGTTGGGTAAAGAAGATGAAAGAGCTGTTGCCGTTCAATTCTTACACAGAGAGGTTACGTCATTTAGCAAATGCTCTTACCCAGAGCAACTTGCAGTAGTGAGTGCATAAAGGTTTCATACTGGTCCCCCATGGGAATCAAACCCACAACCCTAGCGTTGCAAACACCATGCTCTACCAACTAAGCCACACTGGACCCATGTGTTCTGCTCAGTAAATTGGAATGAACCAGTGAGTGATTACTTTTCACACCTGGTTGAAACAGACCAGTGTTCAGGCCACAATAGGAGCCTTTCTTTCCTTCATGTGCCATTGCGCAGCAAAGGTTGATAAAGTTCAGGAAGCACACCAATTTTTATTTGAAAATCTATAAATTGTGAAAATGAATGCCCCTGTGTTTATTTGTGCTTTACTTTCAGGCCCAGAGACTTGAGTCTGGTTGCCAGTTGCAGACCTATTAGCACCCCACAGAAACCCTAACATAACAGCTGTGGCATTGTGTTTGTTTGACTTTGTCATTATTGAATTGAGACATGCAGGCACAGTGGATGTGAATTGAGAATGTGTATTGACTCATTTTGAAGGGTGCACTTGTTAGGTCCTGACCATCTCGGATAATGTTTAGACTGAGAAACACTTCTAAACTTTTGACTCTGGTCTTGGACAATTCAACTTCGGGTGAGTTATGTATCTCAGAAATTTGAAAGGTGTTTCTGAGGCCAAGTTTTACATTCTTTCTGGACCTCAATGCTGACTCTTGAATTCATTTATTGAGGAGGGCTTGAATAAACACAGAATATGGCATGAGCTTTTGTGCCTTAGTGTTGATTGAATATGTTTGAATAAGGATTATCCCAAAGTTGCCTTTAAGCTGTCATCAGAGAGTGTGCAATTTGATATAATTCTGGGGCGTTTAAAGTGTTAACTTCACGAATCTTAAATCCTATTTTGACATATGGTATATGGTTGTTATTCAATATTCAAACAATAGCACACAGGGTAAAAAAAAAAGTGAAAGGCCAAAAATCCAGTGTTCCAGGCTGCTTCAACCGTATGGTTTCAAGCTCCACAGGAGGAATCTGTCTAGTAAACTGATCTGGCTGGCCAGTCATGACCTCAGCCTTCAAGCATGAGTTCTCAGCATGGGTCTGGGTTTAAAAGCACAGCTTTCCAGTGTAACTGAGACAAATGATCATCTGTCCCTATGGAGAGCAGCAGAAGGTAGAGCTGAAAAGATTAACCTATAGATGCTTTTAAGTAACAGCCCCTGTGCCTATGACAGCAGGTTGGCTAAAGAAAATAAGCTGAGGACCTATTAGTCTTCTGAAGGGGATCATTTGATTTTCTTTCTTTTTTCTCCACTTTGCATTTATCGTGTTCTTAAAGCAATTTACTAAAGCAATGTTCTTTTTAAAATTCTGCAACAGATTCATATTTCTGTGAGTGCTGCAATGTGAACTGTACATACAACAAACTACAGTAAACCAAGTTTCAATGCCAAATAACAAAAAACATATTACTCATTTGGTGACAGCTTAATCACAGTATGTTGCCAAGCTGTTGTCCAACAAACGGTTTGAGAGCAATCAGCAGATCTATGAATGATGGCCTATGATCATAATGACGGATACAGAGAGGGACCTCTGTGGCATGACAGGTGGCCGTGAACAGCATTAGCTCTCTGAGAATCCTCTTGGGGGTATCATGGAACAACGTCCCCTTGGCCCTCAGCTGTGGATGGGCTAAAGTGATAACTTCTGCCTCGTCCATTAGCTTGATGTGATCAATTGTAATTGACGCTGCTTGCTCCAGGTTGCGTCCTCTGCATCTTCCTGTTCTTTTAATGGGATCCTCATATTCCTCGAGAATAGTGAAATCTTATTCTACAGCTTTGCCCGCAATGGAGCCCCCGAGAAAAAATATTCACTAGAGCAAATAGCAGTGCCTGAAATAAAACAAGGTGACACTGTTCCTAAAGCAGAATGTGGGGTCAAAGGGTAGGCTAACTGGAAGCGTAGGAAATATGTTATTTTGAAGGTTGAACTACAAAATGAATGGAATTGCAGAGGATACAGATCAATGGAAAGAAAGATCTACATCCTCTAGGAATAAAGATTTATGAACAGTTATGTCTATGGGTGGCAGGTAGTCTAGTGGTTAGTGTTGGGCCAGTAAGCGAAAGATTGGTTTGAATACCCGAGCAGACATGGTGAATCTGCCGATGTACCTTAGAGCAAGGCACTTAACCCTAATTTGCACCAGGGGTGCTGTTCTATGGCTAACCCTGTAAAACACATATGGGATTACCAGGTCATTGTTACCATGGGTTCAGATCCCAACCATGACAAAATTGGAAGGGTCTGGGTTACAAAAGCAGAGGACTTTAAATGAAAGAGATGGACCCATGTTAACGTTAGTTGAACAGTCTGATGGGGAGCCAGGAGGAGGCCGGCCAACAGCAGAATGGATCGGACCCGAATGTCTGTGCAGAAGATGCTCCTTACAGACTGCATTGAGAGGCCTTGAAAAGGAGCAACTCTGAGCATCTGGGTCAGCCCAACCATGTTGTAAAAAAAAAAAAAAGCCTTGCAGCTGGAGTGTCTTAAATGCATGTGAACACCATTAATTCTCAGAATTTCCACTCCAAACCAGTCAATGTCACAACTCAAGCAGTGGAATGCCTATCAGAATGTGCTCTTTGGACTATGTACAAGTGATAGTGAGAAAATGGCAAATTGTGAATGTGCAAAAACCAATAAAGGAAACTAGCTGCACTTCACATGTGCCAGAATAGTGTAAACATGAAATTGCCAAGACCGTAACTAGAGCTCTAGCTTCCTCTAGTGGACAATAAGAATCCCTTCAAGACAATATTCATGAAACACATAAAAGCAGGATAAAAGTGTATAAAATGTTTATTGGCATTATTTGAATATACAGTCTTGATCATATACACAAGTTATATTGATGGAAACTACTTTAGGTCAAAGTGTTTAATTACCAGAAAGTCCAACACCCAGGTGCAGGAACAAAAGCTGTACGCTTCCCAACAATAACATTTCTCCCACAATCGTTAAGACTTTTCTAAAAAAAAAAAATTATAAAAAAAAGAAAATAACATAAGTTAGATACATTCTGTACAGTACAAGCAGCACATAGTGCCAGCAGGCATCTCATAGGGTGAGTTGCTTTGCAAGGTCCTTGATCAGCGAAGACTTGAGCTGTGAAATTGTGGCAATTCTCATCTGCTTCTGACTAGAGTACTTGTTCTTAACCGTCTGGAACAAAAACAAGTTAAAATTAGGGTGACAGGCCATTTTGTAGAATCATTTGAAGTCTAATCATAGGGTGCATGTAAAGTCATAAACAAAGTAAATGGCATTCACAAATCAGGAGGCAGTACTTTGTATGATACTCACCATATGCTTAGTTTGTCCCTCGTTCACCTTCAGAACATTTTTAGCGATGTGCTGCATGGCAGGGACCAGGCTGTCTTCTGTGTAGTTCATGTAATGTTGTAGTGTGGCGCTCTGGGGTGAAGATACAAATACAGCAAGTCAAAAGATTAAGCGATAGCAGTAGTGACCTGGGTATACTACAAAATGGCCTCCTTTAAATGATCAGATAAGCTTACACAAAATGGTGGATGCCAGTCAGAAAAATGAAGAGAATTGCACGACAAACTGATGACATCTTACCCATTCACCACAGTTGAAGACCTTCAGGGTGAGGGCAAAGGCTGCACTGGCCACTTGGGAGGGAGGGAAGTGCACCATCTCATAGTCCACCATGGTGAGCTCCACAAAGTACTTTGCCAGGGTGTGGTGCTCAGCAGTCACCTGGAGGGATTTTAAAATAGCCAGTAATTGGTGTGAATATAGGCCAGAGCTGTCCAACCCTCTTCCAGAGAGCTACCGTTCTGTAGGTTTTTGCGCCAAGGCTAATCTAGTGCATCAGATTCTAAGAATTACCTGGTTGATAAACTAAAGCAAGTTACAACTGGGGTCGGAGCAAAAACCTACAGGAAGGTAGCTCTTTGGGAACAGGGTTGGAGAGCCCTGACATAAGCAATACAGAGGGAGGCGTGTCAGTGTTGAAGGGGTTGCATACCTCACCAATCTTTGAGGCTCTTCTGAGGAACTGGAGGGGGAGAGGGCGGCCGAAGCTGAACTTCAGCACCCTTAGGATCTTCATCTCCATGTCCCTGATCTGTGCAGTGGTATAGGCCCGGTCGGTAACAAAGGCAAAGTCTGCGATCTCCGGAGGGTACATCTCCTCGTATTTGGAAGCGATGAACATGGCAGTCACACCAACCAGCTGGAGCTGCTTTTTGGGCACTGGGTTATCCTGTTGGATGAGATGTCAGTCAATTGGGACCTTTCACACTATATAGTAATGGGGTCACATTACTTGTGGTTCTGTCCCTGAACCATTTCCTTGCTCTGCCGATTTGTAATGCCTGGATTGGCAAAAAAAAAAGCCTACTAATGGGTTAAGTGACATGTCTGCTACATTCCCACCACACTTCTAATAGTTTCACATCAGGATGCTAGGATATAGTGGGTCAAGGGAAAGCTGCCACTGGCTTATTACCTGAAGGAAGCGATCAATGATTCCCACAGTCATGTACATGGTCTCCTGCAGCAGGCGGAACTTGATTTGGACCTGGACAAGCCAATCAATGAGGATGGCACGCATGTTGCCTGTAATTTCCTGTCCCTCCAGATATTTGGGTTTGACAGCCTGATCAATCTGAGGGGAAATATGTAAGCAACAGGCACATGCAGTTATAAAATGCATTTGCTGGACATAGTTACTCAGTTTAGAAACATGTTAAGACACCAACCTCAAGTTTCTGGAGATATTTGTAGATGTCCTTCACATATTCACTGCAGAGCATGGGGTTGTCGTAGTCATCAGCATCTACATCCTTGATATTAAGCAGGACATCTGAGAAGGCCTGGCACAGATCATTGGGAGCACAGCCAGAGGTCTCCATTGGTGTGGGAGACACTGGCTCAGGCAAAACCTGTCAGATAAACACCAACGTTTGTATTCAATATGGGTGTGGTGGTGAACCAGGTCCAATCGTGAATGGAGAGTTGAGCAGATTGAAGGCAAACAAAAAGAACAAGCAGCCAAATTATTTCCCCATCACCCCAGAAGTCTCACCTGAACAGGGGCAAAAACAACTATTTTTGGTTGTTGGACCTCAGGGGCTTTCTCAGCCCGTGTGCTGGCCTTCCTCTCAACCACCTTTGTGGGTTCTGCCTTAGCATCCTGTAGAATAATTTAACCGCAGTATTTTAGTACAAGAAACAGGGTAAATAGATAGTAAACAATAAATTGATAAGTTATTTTTAGTTTGCCGAATCTCACCTTTTTCAGAGTCTGTCTGGGGACTCCAACATTTCCGATTTCGCCGAGCGCAGCTCGTTGTCTCAATGTAGGCTTGGTTCCCAGAACAGCCTTGCCCGGCAGAGTAGTTTGGTTCTCTGAGGAAGCCAGGCGATTCTACAGCAATAAAAGGAAACCATAGAGCTAGATTGATTTTCAAACATTCAAATAAAAGGGATATCGAATTCTGAATGACTATTGTACGCAAGAATTTCACGAGAAGGCTGAAGGATACATTTTTGCAGATGCACGAGGCGATTCTGTCATCGCCATTTGGGCTCTAAAAAAAAAAAATCTAAACTAAAGCATAGAAGAAAAATATGCAAATGCCACCACTATATTCAAACAAAGAGAAATTCTGGAGGAAAAAAAAAAAAAAAAAAAAACTTACCCTTGTCATACGGAGAGCCATTTCGAAAGATGAGTTGCTTTGCTGAAGACAGAACACACTGAAACACCACACAATACCACAGGCTGAATGACCGTGGTTTAAATCCAGGCTTACTCGAATCTCATTCGCTGCGTTCCCAAATTCGTTGCCATCTGATTGGATGATACGCAGCCGCTTAGAATGCGTTCCTAGGACGACCAGTAATCACATGATAGGATTCAGGTTTTTTTTATTAAGACTTCCGCCTCCTTATAAATAAGAAAAAAAGTTTGGGTCCAGTTCAAAACAAAGGCAATTTATTGTACTTATTTAGGGTTCACCAACTTTTTGTTTTATAGAAGTTTTCTACTATATAGATACAATATAATAGTATTATGAATTCTGTGTCTGCAAAGATCATAGGAGCACCATCTGCTGCTAATTTCCCCAAAGATTCTTAAAAACCTTTGCTTTTGGCTCTGCTTTTCTTTGATAACTCCACCATCACAGTTACATTTTATGTAATAAAGTGTACACTTGTACTGTACTGTTATTTTACTATTCATGGTCTTCTTATTACTGCATTTGTGCTAGTCATGTAGGAAACAGGACATCATGACCATACAACACACATTTATTATATTGTGTTAACCTCTGATCCCATAAATGTGCTGTGGAGGCACATCAGGCTCTGCAGTAGCCTAATATCTATTGCATATTTACTCTTCTAAAGAAAATGGAGGAAGAATAATATAATAAGACAGTGGTTGTGGTCCAGATATGATAAAAGTTATTTATTCCATTTTTATTTCACATGAACCGCACACATGAATGCAAAAAAGAAATACAATTAATTCAAAAATCCGATTTGGTACACAGAGTAAGTTACATGATACATGTTCCATCTTTCAGATAATTCAAGGACTCCATTTGTTGTGTCATTGCCAGAACATCATGGAATCCAGTACTGAGGCCAGACATGTGCTGGAAATAGGCCTCCTTCTCCACCTGGACAGATAGATTATTCACCCCGGCATCTTTCAGAATAGCAGTCACCTATAAAGGACAACAAGAAAATGGTTTGAAATGTATTATTCATGAAAAACACAATTAACTTAACCCCAAAGAATATTTGTTTCCACTCGCCTGCTGTATGATCCTCTGCTCCACAACGTCTGACATCAGCTGCAGGTGAATCGTTCCTGCGATGACACTGGCTGAGTGTCTCCAAAAGTGAGGGTCGCGGTAAGACAGCACACCTTCTACTTTCTCAATCTGAAAGAACACAAAAAGACCCAACATGATTATTCATTGTTTGGTATGGTCCGCTCTTCAAACACTATCAATCAACTGAACACAAATCAAATGTATTTAATTACAACCTTTCAATTTAATTTACTATGTTAGTAGAGGTTTTGCTATCCAACCTTTTCCAGGGCGATGTTGAGGTCCTTCTCATGTTCAGGAGGCGTCCTCAGGAGGAGGACCTCGGCAGCATCTGTCAGCAGGGGGATGACACTGAGGAAGATGAGGGTGGAGATGAAGAGGGAACAGATGGGGTCAGCGATCAACCAGCCAAACTGACGAATGAGGATTGTGGAGATGATCACACCAACGCTGCCCAGGGTGTCAGCCAGCACGTGCAGAAAGACACCTGGGAAAAAATAAGCATTTATAGCCATGATTAAACACTGTGACTGTGGTCCATCATACAGTTGAAAACAACAAAGAGCAAATGAGCATCTCATTTGGACGTACATTCATAACACCTCTCTTCAGCTCAGCTCTATAAGGAATTATGAACAGTTATAATGTGGATCACTTTTTGATTCAAGAGCATTTATCTGAAGAAAAAATGTCCACTCACCTCTCATATTGGCATTCATGCCCCCACCATGGGAGTGGCCATGGCTGCTTCCATGACTGTGTCCATGACTGCTCTGCCCATGGCCGTTTCCACCGTGCCCATGTCCCCCATGAGAGTGCCCGTGCTCGCTGTGCCCATGCCCGTGGGAGTGGCCATGGTCATGTGATGAACAACTGCTTTTAGCAGCACCGTGGGAGTGTGCGTGGCTGAAGGCACAGATCCCCACCAGGTTGACGAGGAGCCCTCCAACTGACACAGGCTGGGGAAAACACAGGAGAGTGGCTTTGGAATACTCATGGGAGATATGCAGGGCAGTGATGCTGTGTTATCAGGGTTATCAGACAAACATAACAAATATTTGTTTAAACTCTTTTGGACAATCTACATAGTATTAGGTAGAGAAACTTGAATATGTTTGATACAAATGTTAACATGATGAACATAAACAGGCATTATGAGAAGCTGTAGACATGGTTTACTTACTGTCAACATGTCTGTGTTAATGTTGGGAGGGTCTACGAGTCGTGTGACCGACTCCACAAAGACAAAGAAAGCTATGACCATGAGGAACAAGCCATTGATGAATCCAGAGAGAATTTCAACCCTGCCGTACCTGCAATATGAAACAGACCATTGATCAATCACATTCTAATTTCTCAACTTGACAATAATAGCTCCAGATAAGAATGAAGACGTCCAATGCCTCTTAGAGCAGTATCTCTATTAGACTGAGCTTACCCATAAGAGAATATCCTGGTTGCTTTCCAGCGTGTCATGAGGGCTGCGAAGAGGCCCAGCACCAGAGCAGAGCAGTCAAACAGCATGTGGAAGCCATCAGAGATCAGGCCCAGGCTGTTGGTCCACACACCGTAGAAGAGCTCCACAAACGTGAAAGCCTATAACATGGAAAACAAGAAGTAACAAGCAATTTAGTCAACTAATCTTACATTTTCAGCCACCACAAAAAGCTCAGTAGATAAGACATGGTACTGAAATTCTCAAGTCTAGATCACCCAGTCCCCATCATCTGATATTCAGTCCTGTGTATTCTCATACCCGAGGTTCTGCTTACCAGATTGAGACAGAGGAAGTAGAAGATCTGTCTGGAATCATACTCCTCCAGGATCTGTTTGAGGGAGTCTTTGATGAAGCGGGGCAGAGACTGGGACGTGTGCTGCAGGGCGTCCCCCATGAAGTTATACAGAGGGGTTCCCTCGGGGGAATACCCCACCAAGGTCCCCTTCTGACCTTTCTTCGATGGTGACGACAAGATGCTGTCCGCTGAAAACAGTAAAAGAGAGGGGGATTTACAGTATATGACATGCTCAATGAATGCCACCTGAATGTTAGACTACTTAATGTCACACTCCTTACTCTGAGGAAAACTATCTAGCCACCGTAAAGTCAGTCATTACTACTGGCGGTACTCTCACTCACCCATGATGAAGAAGACTGCACTGACCAGCACCCCTCCAGAGAGCACGTGCTCTGTCTCTGTGCTCTCTTGCTGGGGGGGCTTGCTCATGGTTCCGGAGCTGTTCCGTCAGCGGGTGGGTCCAGAAGTTGGCCAGCAGCAGCCCGCTGAGGAAGAGAAAGATGGAGCCGTAGCGGGCACACCTGGGAGCCTCCATCTTGGTGATGCAGATGGACTCTACATAGAACTCCAGGATCATCACAGAGAAGATGATCATCCCAAACGGCAGGATAAGAGCCGACCACGACTCCACCTTGCTCTGGTGATTTAGAATCACAGTTTAGGGACTTTGTACTCTTTTTTTTTTTTTTTAGGGGGTAGATCAGCTTTAATATTGCAGATAGATTGTAACTTCCATCAATGTAATTGTCTGCATCACTTCCAATCCCCCATATGTTTTTTCTTTTCTCTCTCTCGCATATATTATATATATATATATATACATATCCTTTAAAAATATATATATTTTCCTTTATTACTTTCCAACCCCACCATCCCCTCCCTAATTGGAGTAAACTAGTGAACAACAATGCTTAGGCCTCTACTTCATGCTTATACATACTATATACATTTTATGGACACAGTCACTAATTATATTTTGTTTGTTTTTACTCCTGAACTTCCTCCGATCATTTTCATGATGTCCATCTGGTATGCTTCTATATGCCATATCTTTATAACTGTGCTCTTTCACAAAAGCTCACAATATATAATCTGTATACTTATTATGGACACAGCATGTCTTACACTAGTTAACTTGTTGTTATTAGTTGTTGTTATTAGTCCCATCCTTCAGCTCCATTCAACACCTCCCATCTATCTGTTAACACCATCCATATTGGATTTCTATTTGCCATATATTTTTCAACTGTACTGTGATGTTTTACAAAAGTTCTGAACCTTTCTATTCTCATTGTTGTTTCTTTGTACTCTTTATGCAGTAACAAATGGCCAATTGTTTGGGCTCTTAACCTTACTGATACAAAATATTTGATACAATAAAAATTGGATAAACTTGCATTAAAGATGCCTTAGAACTGTGCTTTCCCATATTCTCCATCTCTTACCTCTGTGGTGGCTGAGAGCACTATGACCCAGGGCAGCAGGACTATGGAGGAGACCAGGTTATCCAGGGCGTAGAGGCGTTTGGCTCCCCCGATCTCCACAGACAACTTCCTGGAAGCTGTGTGGAAGCCAATCTTCAGGCAGAGAGACACCACCAGCAACACAACCCCACCCTGAGAGAGAGAGAGCATCAGTGGCTTAACATTTCTCAAAGTGTGGAGAAAGGAGAGAAGATAGAGTTGAGGCACAGGGAAGATTACATCCACTAGAAAAGCAAATACTGTACTTGTGATGTGATTGATTTACGTACCTTGTGATCTGCTACCCCCAAGAATGCAATAGCAGTGTAGAGAGCATGAGTGAGGGCACTGTCATGGTGTCCTTCAGCTAGAAGAGCAGATGATTAAGGGAAAAACTATAGAGGTTTGACATTATGATCATCCATTCATGATCATCTATTCTATCATGTATTTCAGAAAGGATACGATGTTCCGCCATCTTTGCCATGAGGTCATCATTGTCGAAGAGGAGGAGACAGATGACAGCGATAATGAAGAGAGCGGCACCTCTGGTCTACAACACAAACAGACATGCTGTCATTCACAACATCCACAGGGGTTTGGAAGACATTGAAATGATGATTGATAAGACTGTTTAGAAAGAACATAAAAAAACGCCTGAACATGTGTGCATACCTTGGAGGGGCCACCTCCTGAGCTTGTGAATAAAACACTGAGGAGTGCAATGACCACCACATCACTGTGCTCAAACAGTAACAACGTCCTGAGCAAGAAGGAAAAAATGTGTTATTATCAAGGAGTGTGTGAGGTAGTACAAGTAATGACATCAAGAAACCAAACCCTCCATTCAGCCAGACGGTCACACTGATGACATGACATCTTACCTTAAAGGTCCACAGAGAGTGAGACCAAAGAAACCCAGGAGGGAAATGATGCAGCTGATGACCGCATGTTTCAGGAGCTTGATCCACTGCAATAAAGATGGGTGAGGGTCACAATTACTATGGGTGAGGGTCACATGATTACTCCTGGAGTGCACATGCTGTCTATGACACATTATTTGTGTCTCCGAGACCTGAAAGCAGGGTAAACACGTACCTGTCTCTTTGAAATTGCTTTCCCAGAAGAGAATGGTTTTTGGAAGAAAACCAAAATCACTGCACACCTACACAGGAAGAAGAGACAGATGTATTTTCCATACATAACAGAATAAACTAATATTTTAATCGGAGGAGAAAAGGGTAACCAGGAGCTACTCACCCCAATTTTAGTATGAAGATGAACTGAACAATGTGGACAACTTTGAGGAGGTCATATGATTCAAAGATCCCAAGTGCCTTCAACACCTTGGACACAAGCAGTAACACTATGTACCTGGTCAGCCTGAAAGAGAGAATAACAAGTTAAATACAATCTCACAACAGGATCTTGCCCACCTAGCTAGCTTGCGAAGACTAGTGATGACAAGCAGTGACATAAACACAGCCATGATGTAAACAATAGCCTCACTTCTACTGTAGGCTAGCATTGAACAGAACATACAAGCAAAGACTCTGAATTCATCAACTAATCTGGTACAATGGGTCACAGGCTATATAGTTAGTCAGCTAAGACAGCAGCTGACCTAGCTGAGGAACGCTCAACTCTGTTCTCTCTTAAGCATTCCTCAGCTACAGCTAACCTGAGCATTCCTCAGCTACAGCTAACCTTAGCATTCCTCAGCTACAGCTAACCTGAGCATTCCTCAGCTACAGCTAACCTGAGCTTTCCTCAGCTACAGCTAACCTAAGCGTTCCTCAGCTACAGCTAACCTAAGCGTTCCTCAGCTACAGCTAACCTAAGCGTTCCTCAGCTACAGCTAACCTAAGCGTTCCTCAGCTACAGCTAACCTAAGCGTTCCTCAGCTACAGCTAACCTAAGCGTTCCTCAGCTACAGCTAACCTAAGCGTTCCTCAGCTACAGCTAACCTAAGCGTTCCTCAGCTACAGCTAACCTGAGCTTTCCTCAGCTACAGCTAACCTAAGCGTTCCTCAGCTACAGCTAACCTAAGCGTTCCTCAGCTACAGCTAACCTGAAGCGTTCCTCAGCTACAGCTAACCTAAGCGTTCCTCAGCTACAGCTAACCTAAGCGTTCCTCAGCTACAGCTAACCTAAGCGTTCCTCAGCTACAGCTAACCTAAGCGTTCCTCAGCTACAGCTAACCTAAGCGTTCCTCAGCTACAGCTAACCTAAGCGTTCCTCAGCTACAGCTAACCTAAGCGTTCCTCAGCTACAGCTAACCTAAGCGTTCCTCAGCTACAGCTAACCTAAGCGTTCCTCAGCTACAGCTAACCTAAGCGTTCCTCGGCTACAGCTAACCTTAGCTGCCTAACCACAACAATTTAACGTTACTAGAAAACTAGAGGGCTTACCTGGCATTCGGTACTTCAACCCTGCCCAGCTGTCCACTGGAAAGTACATTGCTGCTGTATTTGTCATCCATTTTTATAGCTAGGCTGAAACTCAACAAATGTAATGATCCATGCGACCAGACTGGTGGTTGCTAGCTAACGTTAGCCTTGTAAAGTTGTGTCAAAGAGATTAACGTTACTAGCTGTAACGTTAGCTAGCCGGCTAGCTTATCATAGAATTCAACAAGACATCGTAGCTAGCTAGTTAGCAAGAACCCCCTCTTACAATACAGACACAGACCATGTCCGCGCAAAGATCCGGCACAATTAAGAATATGGTATCATAAACTATTTGTAAAATTGCTTCCAAAGGAAAGAACAGCATCCCAGATGATCGAGGCCACACTTCCGGATACGATAAACATTACCACGTCACAAATCCACGAGCCTAATGCCGCGTTCAAAACAACTGGGAACTCGGAAAAATACGAGGTCAAATCATGACCTCAGTGATCTTCAGGTCGGAAAGTCGGAGCTCTAGACAGAGGCCCGAGTTCCGGAGTAGGAATTCCGAATTGGATGACCGTTCAAAACTATTTTTCTCAGTCGGAGCTCGTTTTATTTTCGAGTTCCCTGTTGTTATGAACGCACTGAGGTCGGAACGGAAGTCGGAGATTTCCGAGTTCCCAGGTCCGAGTTCCCATCATTTCTGCGCAGTAGTACAATGTGCAGCCAAAGTGAAATTATAGCCTTTCCCAAAACAGTTTTCTATTTAGACTTTGGATTACGTATTTTATACTACTGTAGGATACCTAAAAAAAGAGACATTGATTACTGCTGTTACAAATAGTTGTATTAATACCAGTGGTGTAAAGTACTTAAGTAGAAATACTTGAAAGTACTACTTAAGTAGTTTTTTGGGGTATCTGTACTTTACTTTACAATTTATATATATATTTTTTACAACTTTTACTTTTACTTCACTACATTCCTAAAGAAGATTATGTACTTTATACTCCATACATTTTCCCTGACACCCAAAAGTATTTTTTACATTTTAGTCATTTAGCAGACACTCTTATCCAGAGCGACTTACAGTTAGTGAATGCATACATTTTTTTCCTACCCCCTGTGGGAATCGAACCCACAACCCTGGCATTACAAACGGCATGCTCTATCAACTGAGCTACATCCCTGCCGGACATTCCCTCCCCTACCCTGGACGACGCTGGGCCAATTGCGCGCCGCCCCATGGGTCTCCCGGTCGCGCCGGCTACGACAGAGCCTGGATTCGAACCAGGATCTCTAGTGGCACAGCTAGCACTGCGCTGCAGTGCCTTAGACCACTGCGCCACTCGGGAGTACTCCTTACATTTTGAATGGTCTAATTCACACAATTATCAAGAGAACATCCCTGGTCATCCCTACTGCCTCTGATCTGACAGACTCACTAAACACATGCTTCCTTTGTAAATTATTTCTGAGTGTTGGAGCATGCCCCTGGCTATCTGTAAATTAAAAAACGAGAAAATGATGCCGTGTGGTTTGCTTAATATAAGGAATTCAAAATGATTTATACTTTTACTTTTACTTTTGATACTAAAGTATATTTGAGCAAGTACATTTACACTTTGATACTTAAGTATATTTAAAACCAAATACTTTTAGACATTTACTCAAGTAGTATTTTACTGGGTGACTTTCACTTTTACTTGAGTCATTTTCTATTAAGGTATCTTTACTTTTACTCAAGTATGACAATTGGGTACTTTTTCCACCACTGATTAATACATAATTTCAATATACTTATTTAGTAAAAGCGGGATTTTCTCATAATATCCCTTTGTGTCCTCCTGTTTGACAAAGGAAACAGGGTAATAAGTTAATGTCAACATAATTTAATAAAAAATCTATCTCCAACTTTCTCCTAATTCTCACTCAGTGTTGTGTTGTGCAACTCACCAGGGTGTCCTCCTATAGGGTTATTTTGTACATGGTCTCATACTCTTCCATCACCTTCTTCTGGTCCACCACCGAGTGGCTCATCAGCACCCTGATCAGAGTTTCATCACACGTACCGTAGTCCCCGTGCCCAAGAACACTTAGGTAACCTTCCTAAATGACTACCAACCCGTAGCACTCACGTCTGTAGCCATGAAGTGCTTTGAAAGGCTGGTCATAGCACACATCAACAACATTATCCCAGAAACCCTAGACCCACCTAATTTGCATACCGCCTCAACATATCCACAGATTATGCAATCTCTATTGCGCTCCACACTGTCCTTTCACACCTGGACAATAGGAACACATATGTGAGAACGCTATTCATTGACTACAGCTCAGCGTTCAACACCATAGTGCCCTCAAAGCTCATCACTAACTAAGCACCCTGGGACTAAACACCTCCCTCTGCAACTGGATCCTGGACTTCCTGATGGGCCGCCCCCAGGTGGTAAGGGTAGGTAACAACACATCCATCCACCACGCTGATCCTCAACACGGGGGCCCCTCAGGGGTGCGTGCTCAGTCCCCTCCTGTACTCCCTGTTCACTCATGACTGCATGGCCAGGCATGACTCCAACGCCATCATTAAGTTTGCAGATGACACAACAGTGGTAGGCCTGATCACCGACAACGACGAGACAGCGCCTATAGGGAGGAGGTCAGAGACCTAGCTGTGTGGTGCCAGGACAACAACCTCTCCCTCAACGTGATCAAGACAAAGGAGATGATTGTGGACTACAGGAAAAAGAAGAGGACCGAGCACGCCCCCATTCTCATCGACGAGGCTGTAGTGGAGCAGGTTGAGAGCTTCAAGTTCCTTGGTGTCCAGATCACCAACAAACTAACATGGTCCAAGCACACCAAGACAGTCATGAAGAGGGCACGACAAAACCTATTCCCCCTAAGGAGACTGTAAAGATTTGGCATGGGTCCTCAGATCCTCAGACGGTTCTACAGCTGCACCATTGAGAGCATCCTGACTGGTTGCATCACTGCCTGGTATGACAACTGCTCGGCCTCCGACCGCAAGGCGGAGGGTAGTGCGTACGGCCCAGTACATCACTGGGGCCAAGCTTCCTGCCATAACTCTACATGTACATATTACCTCAATTACCTCGACTTACTGGTGCCTCCGCACATTGACTCGGTACCGGTACCCCCTGTATATAGCCTCGCTATTGTTATATATACTGCTGCTCTTTAATTATTTTTTTGGTATTATTTTTTTAAAACTGCATTGTTGGTTAAGGGCTTGTAAGTAAGCATTTCACTGTGTAGTCCCATGTAGCTCAGGAACACATATGTGAGAACGCTATTCATTGACTACAGCTCAGCATTCAACACCATAGTGCCCTCAAAGCTCATCACTAAGCTAAGCACCCTGGGACTAAAGAATACAGTTCACTTTCATAGCAGCCACATAAAAACAGTGTGATCACTTTGTTGTGTATATAATTCCTTCTCGCAACTCTCTATGTGCTCTCCTTTCACCTTTTCTCTTCGCATGTGGACTTCAGTGCACAACACATCAGCTGTCTGTGACCAGGCAAAAAAAGCTTTCCAAGCCAAACCTTCTTATCATGACCGCTATAACTGCTACACACAGCTTACATCGTTGTCACGTCATAGTCAACATAGCTACTAGAACTAACGCTTTAGTAAACCCACTAGCTACAATCATGCAGTACAGTGTACAGTCAGAAAGCAGTTGAGCAGTTACACTGTACACCGGTGGGCCTCCGGAAGTTGTCATAATTATTGTGTAAGTCTATGGAAGGGGGTGAAAACCATGAGCCTCTGAGGTTTTGTATTGAAGTCAGTGTACCCAGAGGAGGACAGAAACTAGCTGTCCTCCGGCTACACCATGGTGCTAACCTAGAGAGTGCTGCTGAGGCTACTGTAGACCTTCATTGCAAAACAGTGTGTTTTAATAATTTAATGGTGACTATATATTTAGTATAGTTCTATCTAAAAAGGATACCTTTTTTAATGTTTCACTATTTTTATTTTTATACAATTCACTGAGGAGGATGGTCCTCCCCTTCCTCCTCTGAGGAGCCTCCACTGACGCACGCACACACGCACGCGCACACACAAGCACACGCGCACACACACACACACACACACACACACACAAACACACACACACACACACACACACACACACACACACACACACACACACACACACACACACACACACACACACACACACACACACACACACACACACACACACACACACACACACACACACACCACTAAATTACCTTCATTGCCAGATGGAGCTTTTCGGCAAAGAAAGCAGACTTGCAGCAGACACACTTCACTACAGTATCAAAGACATACAGATCAGTTGAATATAAATCACAGAAATAAAGTACAATATGTCAATCATGATAGTGGAGATGACCTTACCAATGTCTATGAGGCAGTCCTCAATGTCCCCCTTCAGCTCCAGGTCGAATACTTGTGAAAATAGTACCAAAATATATTTTTTTAACTGTATTGTTGTTTACCTTTGTAGCTTGTCTGAGCTGGTGGGCATCAAATTGGTCAGGGGTCATCAGCAGGGCCAAAACCACATCCTTCAGATCTGACCTCAGAGCTGACTTCAGGTCATCAGTCAGAGCCTGAAACAAGATGGAGGGGAGGGGGTTATTAAGGTGGTAACAGTTTGGGGAGGTGTGTAAGGGGCAGTTAGGAGTGTTGATTGGCTGAGGGGACAATGTTGTGACTCATATGCCCAGTAGACTGCTCATAGACTCTTTTGATTTGTTGTCTCTGCCCATTGCTCCTCTTCACCAGAACTGTCATAATCACATCCTCATCCAATCCTGTAGATGTAATATTGATCAATAATAAAAACACAACACAGATTGAGTGAATAGAAGCACATTGGGCAAACACGGGTTGAATCAACATTGTTTCCACATAATTTCAACAACAAACAAATTATGTGATGATGAATCAACATGAACGTGTAATTTTTTGTGGTTGATTTCACGTTTGTTGACAACTCAACCTAATGTAAATCAAAACTAGATGATGAACTGATGTCTGTGCCCAGTGGGAGTGGGGCTTGGCAGTTGGAGTATTCTGATACATGGTGTTCTTACCTTTGGCTTCAATGGCTTTCTCAAGAGCTGCTGCATCACCACTAGCACTGAAGTGTGGACATGGGGCTACTGTTCCATAATATACAGGCTTTGGTTTACCAAACATTCGTGAGGTGACTTCCATCTTTCCAGCTGTTATGTCTGTTTCGATCTCTACAGCTGATGCGACTGTTTCCAACTCTACAGCTGATGTGAAGGTTTCCATCTCTGCAGCTGTTGCGACGGTTTCAATCTCTACTGTTGCAACTGTTTCCATCTTTACAGCTCTGAAATGAGTTATATCTGTGAAAAGTATTCCTGTAAGAACAGTGTAACAAGTGTTGTAATTACTGATTGTTACACTGTACTTATCGCAGTCAACTTAACCCTATCACTAGTCCTCACCCTAACCCTAAGTACAGGGTAATAACAGTATAATTACAGTGTACTAACTGGAATACATACACAGTAATAGGGGCACTGTAATGTAAAGCATACCAACAATTTCATCAACAGAATTATAATTAAAGCTGCAATATGTATCTTTCTGGGCGACCTGACCAAATTCACATAGAAATATGAGTTATAGATCTGTTATTCTCAATGAAAGCAAGTCTAAGAAGTGGCAGATCTGTTCTATGTGCGCTATTTCTATGCTTCCCGTTCTTAAGTTTCGATTCCCCGTCTTTTACCTTCGGTTTTGTACACCAAGATTCAAACAGCTGAAACTACAATATTTTGGGTTATGGAAAATATATTTCATAGATGGTACAATGATTATCTACACTATACTTGCTTGTTTTGTCACATAAACTGAAATTTAGAATTTTAGCAAGCAGGAAATGGCGGAGCGATTTCTGCATAGTGCACCTTTAAGGAGAATGAGCACAAGTGCATCAGTAATTCTTATACGTTCCTTATGGTCTGAATGTAAGAAAACCTCACCTGTTCACCTGAAGAGATTGTCCTGAGCCGCAGTTGTCTTGATCGTGTTGTTCACTACTTAACAACACACCTTGCAGTGTCTCCACCCATTCACTTCTCAAACCCCTCAGAGCCTGACAACATTTTATCCCTCAAGTGAACCTTGTTTAAACACCACAGATTTAGCATACCAGTGCCTCTGTTAAATATTACAGTAAGAAGCAGAAATGCTGCAAATTATAGTGCTTATAAGTGGTTATGTTGTGGGTTTGATAGCAGTGATGTCTGATGTTCTCCTCCAACACAATAAAACAGTGATGAGCATTTCACGACATACCATGAAGACGTGTTGTGTTAACAAAATGTTATGTCAAAGTCAGATTCATTGAGTGAAAGACAAAGCCAATAGGCATGTACAGGCATGTTCCAAATGTGTTTTTCCAAACCGTTTCAAACACGAGGCAAACTCAATAAAGACACAATAGCAGTTGAATAATTGTATATCTCTTTATACACTGAGTGTACAAAACATTAAGAACACCTTCCTAACACAGGGATGCTGGCCCAGGTTGTCTGTCAATGCTTGTTGTCTCCAATGCTTCCCACAGTTGTGTCAAGTTGGCTGGATGTCCTTTGGGTGGTGGACCATTCTTGATACACACAGGAAACTGTTAAGAGTGAAAAACCCAGCAGCGTTGCAGTTCTTGACACAAACCGGTGCGCCTGGCACCTACTACCATACCCCATTCAAAGGCACTTAAATCTTTTGTCTTGCCTATTCAACCTCTGAATGGCACACATACACAATCCATGTCTCAATTGGCTCAAGTCTTAAAAATCCTTATTTAACCTGTCTCCTCCACTTCATCTACACTGATTGAAGTGGATTGAACAAGTTACACCAATAAGGGATCATAGCTTTCACCTGGATTCACCTGGTCAGTCTATGTCATGGAAAGAGCAAGTGTCCTTTTCCCCCTCAGGAGACTGAAAAGATTTGGCATGGGTCCCCAGATCCTCAAAAAGTTCTACAGCTGCACCATCGAGAGCATCCTGACTGGTTGCATCACCGCCTGGTATGGCAACTGCTCGGCATCTGACCGTAAGGCGCTACAGAGGGTTGTGCGTACGGCCCAGTACATCATTGGGGCCAAGCTTCCTGCCATCCAGGACCTAAATACTAGGTGGTGTCAGAGAAAAGCCCAAAAAATTGTCAAAGACTCCAGTCACCCAAGTCATAGACTGTTCTCTCTGCTACCGCATGGCAAGCGATACAGGCGCGCCAAGTCTCGGACCAAAAGGCTCCTTAAAAGCTTCTACCTCCAAGCCATAAGACCGCTGAACAATTAATCAAATGGCCACCCGGACTATTTATATTGCCCCCCCCCCCCCCCCCATTTGTTTTTACACTGCTGCTACCCACTGTCTATTATCTATGTATAGTCACTTTACCCCTACCTACATGTACAAATTACCTCAACAAACCTGTACCCCCGCACATTGACCCTGTATATAACCTCGTTATTGTTATTTTATTGTGTTACCTTTTATTTTTTTTTACTTTAGTTTATTTGATAAATATTTTCTTAACTCTTTCTTGAACTGCATTGTTGGTTAAGGGTTTGTAAGTAAGCATTTCACGGTAAGGTCTACACCTGTTGTATTCGGCGCATGTGACAAATAAAGTTTGATTTGATTTGTCCTTTATATTTTGTACACTCAGTTTACAGTCCCCAACCTACTCCAACCTACTTATTAGGCAATTAGTAGCTAAAATCCAACACTTTCTTGTACAATTCAATACATTTGCAAATTCTTTAGTTAAACATTTGTTAGATTTCTAAAAAATCTTGACTCTTCTTTTTCTTCTGGGAGCTAGGGTCTTGGAGGTGGCTGTCCTCTCCCCCGTCCTCGCCCTGGTCCCCCTCCTGGCCCCTGCTGACCATTTCCAGGCAGAGGTCCAGGCCCCCGGGGACCCGGTGGGCGGGTCACTGCGCCTCGAGTGTTGGGATTTGGTGATGACAGGGACACGTCTTTCTGCAGGTTCACGTCCTTGCCTGCAGTTCCTGGCCTCACCTTTGTAGACTTTCCACCTTGGTCTGCTTTATTGTCTGGTCAGGGAAGACATAGGGGGAGTGCATTGTCTCAAAGTCTAAACAAGTACAACCATCTCTTTGCTCATGCAACCTGGACTCAGGGGTAGATGTAACATAGTAAATCCGGGACACTCCAATTAGTATGATATCTTATGTTTGCATGGTATGTATTCATTTGTTTTTGCCTTAAGTAACCTTCTGTTTTATGTAACATTCCAAATGTAACATATCATACTAATTTGAGTGTCCCGGAGTTACGTTTACTATGTTACGTCTAGTCTATGAGACCAGGCTGGCTCATGATATCATTGATTTCAGACAAATTTAACATCAGGTCAAACAAGATCACCTGTGTTCCACTATTGGAGCTAAGGTTTCATACACATTTGAAGTGAAGGTATGATGCTCACCTGCACCTGTCTCTGGTGGGGGAGCTGGGGGCAAGAGAGAGCGGTTGGGGAGCAGGTCCTCCAGGTCCTTCATGACCTGGTCTGTGCTTTCAGTGTTGTTCCTCCTGTTCTTCTCCTCATCTCTGGCCTAAAGATAGAGAGAGAATGTGTGTGTGTGTGTGTGTGTGAGTGAGTGAGTGAGTGAGTGAGAGAGACAGAGAGAGAGAGAGAGAGAGAGAGAGAGAGTGTGTGTGTGTGTGTGTGTGAGTGAGTGAGTGAGTGAGTGAGTGAGTGAGAGATAGATAGATAGATAGATAGATAGATAGATAGATAGATAGATACATGTAGATAGATAGATGACAGCGAGCGAGAGCAAGTGAGTATTATTTAAATAATTAAGACCTATAAATTAACCACATACAATTTTTACCTGAGACTGAATTAATTTGAAAAACACTCAGACTCACCATCTGCATCTTCTTCTTCAGCTCTGCGTTAGCATGTTGATACGCCTCAGACACCGAGTTCAGATAGTAGATAGCCAGTCTGTGGGGAAGTACATACAGTGGGCTCCAATATTACCGGCACCCCTGACTGGCAATGCACAAATAATACTTTAATAAATATAAACAATATAATTATAGAGATAAACTCAAAATACCAACATGTGAGAAATACTGTACTATATTAATGTTCCAAAAGGACCCACCAAAATCATTTATTGATTTAATTAAAAATCAATGTCCACCAAATCAAGGTTTCACAATTAATGGCACCCTTAAAGATTATTGTAAATAACATCTACCAAAATTAAACCAGGAATTAAATTCCACTTATTTAAGTTGATCTAAGTCTTAAGGAACCATATTGAGCCATTACATCACTTCCTGTTTCACTAGGGTATAAAAATGAGGTAACACGCATGCAATATCCCTTTGTCATCCAACACCATGAAGAAAACAAAAGCACTGGCAGTTCAAAAGAGACAGATGGTTGTAGACCTTCATAAATCTGGTAATGGCTACAAGACGATCCACAAACGATTGAATTTACCACTGAGCACTGTCAGGGCAATTATAAAAAAAATAAAAAGATATGGAACAGTTGAAAACCTCACAGGTAGAGGACGCAAATGCATTTTGCCCCCCAGGATAGGGAGGAGGATGGTGAGAGAAGCAACAAAATCCCCAAGAATCACTGTGAAAGAATTGCAGGCCTTGGTGGCGTCTTGGGGTCACCAGGTTTCAAAAAGCACCATCAGACGCCACCTCCACAACCACAGGCTCTTTGGAAGGGTTGCCAGAAGAAAGCCCTTTCTGACTCCAAGACACAGATTGCAAGCGCTTGGAGTTTGCCAAACGTCATTTAAATTATGACTGGAAGAAGGTGCTCTGGTCAGATGAGACCAAAATTGAACGTTTTGGTCAGATACAGCATCGGCATGTTTGGCGTCGAAACAGAGATGCATACAAGGAGAGGCACCTCATACCCACGGTGAAATATGGTGGTGGGTTAGTGATGTTTTGGGGCTGTTTTAATTCCAGAGGTCCAGGGGCACTGGTTAAGATTGATGGCATAATGAATTCCACCAAGTATCAGGGAATTTTGGCTGACAATCTGGTTGCCTCTGCCAGAAGGCTGGGACTTGGCCATAGCTGGACTTTCCAACAAGACAATGACCCAAAACATACCTCAAGATCCACACAGAAATGGTTCTGTGACAACAAAATCAATGTTCTGCCATGGCCATCTCAGTCGCCGGACCTCAATCCAATCGAAAATCTGTGGACTGAGTTGAAGAGGGCAGTTGATAAGCGCAAACCCAAGAATGTGAAGGATCTTGAAAGGATCTGCATAGAGGAATGGTCCAAAATCCCTCCAAATGTGTTCCTTAACCTCGTCAAACATTACAGGAAAAGACTCCATGCTGTTAACCTTGCCAGAGGTGGTTACACTAAGTACTAAATGAGGAGTGCCAATAATTATGAAACGTTGATTTTGGTGACATTTATTTGGTATTAAATAATTGTATGATTTTGGTTGGTTCCATTGAAAATTATTTCTCACGTTGGTATTTTGAGTTTATCTCTATAATTATATTGTTTATAATTTTTAAAGTATTGTTTGTGCATTGCCAGTCAGGGGTGCCAGTAATTTTGGAGCCCACTGTATTAAGAGCTTTAGCATCCATCTGTTTACACAGATATACACTGTAGACATGCAGTATCCTAATATACAGTCGTGGTCAAAAGTTTTGAGAATGACACAAATACTAATTTTCACAAAGTCTGCTGCCTCAGTTTTGATGATGGTAATTTGCATATACTCCAGAATGTCATGAAGAGTGATCAGATGAATTGCAGTTAATTGCAAAGTCCCTCTTTGCCATGAAAATGAACTTAATCCCCCAAAAAACATTTCCACTGCATTTCAGCCCTGCCACAAAAGCACCAGCTGCCATCATGTCAGTGATTCTCTCGTTAACACAGGTGAGAGTGTTGACGAGGAGAAGGCTGGAGATCACTCTGTCATGCTGATTGAGTTAGAATAACAGACTGGAAGCTTTAAAAGGAGGGTGGTGCTTGAAATCATTGTTCTTCCTCTGTTAACCATGGTTAACTGCAAGGAAACACGTGCCGTCATCATTGCTTTGCACAAAAAGGGTTCACAGGCAAGGATATTGCTGCTAGTAAGATTGCACCTAAATCAACCATTTATCGGATCATCAAGAGGAGAGAGGTTCAAATGTTGTGAAGAAGGCGTCAGGGCGCCCAAGAAAGTCCAGCAAGCGCCAGGACCGTCTCCTAAAGTTGATTCAGCTGCGTGATCGGGGCACCACCAGTGCAGAGCTTGCTCAGGAATGGCAACAGGCAAGTGTGAGTGCATCTGCACGCACAGTGAGGTGAAGAATTTTGGAGGATGGCCTGGTGTCAAGAAGGGCAGCAAAGAAGCCACTTATCTCCAGGAAAAACATCAGGGACAGACTGATATTCTGCAAAAGGTACAGGGATTGGACTGCTGAGGACTGGGGTAAAGTCATTTTCTCTGATGAATCCCCTTTCCGATTGTTTGGGGCATCCGGAAAACACCTTGTCCGGAGAAGACAAGGAGAGCGCTACCATCAGTCCTGTGTCATGCCAACAGTAAAGCATCCTGAGACCATTCATGTGTGGGGTTGCTTCTCAGCCAAGGGAGTGGGCTCACTCACAATTTTGCCTAAGAACACAGCCATGAATAAAGAATGGTACCAACACATCCTCCGAGAGCAACTTCTCCCAACCATCCAAGAACAGTTTGGTGATGACCAATGCCTTTTCCAGCTTGATGGAGCACCTTGCCATAAGGCAAAAGTGATAACTAAGTGGCTCGGGGAACAAAACATTGACATTTTGGGTCCATGGCCAGGAAACTCCCCAGACCTTAATCCCATTGAGAACTTGTGGTCGATCCTCAAGAGGCGGGTGGACAAACAAAAACCCACAAATTCTGACAAACTCCAAGCATTGATTATGCAAGAATGGGCTGCCATCAGTCAGGATGTGGCCCAGAAGTTAATTAAAAGTTAAAGTCCCCTGTAGCTCAGTTGGTAGAGCATGGCGCTTGCAACGCCAGGGTTGTGGGTTCGTTTCCCACAGGGGGTCAGTATGAAAATGTATGCACTCACTAACTGTAAGTCGCTCTGGATAAGAGTGTCTGCTAAATGACTAAAATGTAATGCCAGGGCGGATTGCAGAGGTCTTGAAAAAGAAGGGTCAACACTGCAAATATTGACTCTTTGCATAAACTTAATGTAATTGTCAATAAAAGCCTTTGACACTTATGGAATGCTTGTAATTATACTTCAGTATACCATAGTAACATCTGACAAAAATATCTCACAACCCTGAAGCAGCGAACTTTGTGAAGACCAAAACTTTTGACCACGACTGTACAGTACCAGTCAAAAGTTTGAACACACCTACTCATTCCAGGGTTTTTCTTTATTTGTACTATTTTCTACATTGTAGAATAACAGTGAAGACATCAAAACTATGAAATAGCACATATGGAATCATGTAGTAACCAACATTCTGTTAAACAAATCAAAATGTATTTTATATTTGAGATTGTTCAAAGTAGCCACCCTTTGCCTTGATGACAGCTTTGCACACTCTTGGCATTATCTCAACCAGCTTCATGAGGTAGCCACCTGGAATGCATTTCAATTAACAGGTGTGCCTTGTTAAAAGTTAATTTGTGGAATTTCTTTCCTTCTTAATGCGTTTGAGTCAATCAGTTGTGTTGTGACAAGGTAGGGGTGGTATACAGAAGATAGCCCTATTTGGTAAAAGACCAAGTCCATATTATGGCAAGAACAGCTCAAATAAGCAAAGAGAAACAACAGTCCATCATTACTTTAAGACATGAAGGTCAGTCAATACAGAACATTTCAAAAACTTTTAAAGTTTATTCAAGAGCAGTCGCAAAAAACATGAAGTGCTATGATGAAATTGGCTCTCATGAGGACCGCCACAGGAAAGGAAGACCCAGAGTTACCTATGCTGCAGAGTATACGTTCATTAGAGTTCCCAGCCTCAGAAATTGCAGCCCAAATAAATGCTTCACAGAGTTCAAGTAACAGACACATCTGAACATCAACTGTTCAGAGGAGACTGTGTGAATCAGGCCTTCATGGTTGAATTGCTGCAAAGAAACCACTACTAAAGGACACTAATAAGAAGAAGAGACTTGCTTGGGCCAAGAAACACGAGCAATGGACATTAGACCGGTGGACATCTGTCCTTTGGTCTGATGAGTCCAAATTTGAGATTTTTGGTTCCAACTGCTGTGTCTTTGTGAGACGCAGAGTAGGTGAACGGATGATCTCCGCATGTGTGGTTCCCACCATGAAGCATGGAGGAGGAGGTGTGATGGTGTGGGGGTGCTTTACTGGTGACACTGTCTGTGATTTATTTAGAATTCAAGGCACACTTAACCAGCATGGCTACCACAGCATTCTGCAGCGATACGCCATCCCATCTGGTTTGCGCTTAGTGGGACTATCATTTGTTTTTCAACAGGACAAGGACCCAACACACCTCCAGGCTGTGTAAGGGCTATTTGACCAAGAAGGAGAGTGATAGAGTGCTGCATCAGATGACATGGCCTCCACAATCACCCGACCTCAACCCAATTGAGATGGACCGTAGAGTGAAGGAAAAGCAGCCAACAAGTGCTCAGCATATGTGGGAACTCCTTCAAGAATGTTGGAAAAGCATTCCTCATGAAGCTGGTTGAGAGAATGCCAAGAGTGTGCAAAGCTGTCATCAAGGCAAAGGGTAGCTACTTTGAAGAATCTAAAATCTAAAATATATTTTGATTTGTTTAACACTTTTTTGGTTACTACATGATTCCATATGTGTTATTTCGTGGTTTTGATGTCTTCACTATTATTCTACAATGTAGAAAATAGTAAAAATAAAGAAAACCTTTGACTGGTACTGTATGTATATAAATGTGTGTGTGTGTGTGTGTGTGACTGTATGTGTAGTTATATACTTCTACTCACACCATCAGTAGCACAGCTGGTATGATGAGGCCAGGGTTGGCTGCATAGCCCATCAGTGTTCCCAGAAAGGCAGGCAGGTCCAGGTCTATCGTCTCCATGATGACATCAAACATCTTGGCCTTCCCACTGTGGAGATCAAAGATTGTGTGAGACTGTATTTGTGATTTTGTTTTTTGTGAGTATGTAGCTACAGGTATGTGTCCTTACATATTGTATATTGTTTGTCTGTGTTTATGTATAGAGGTGTGAGTGCATTTGCAGGGGTGTGTCCTACAGAACAGTAAACATGCCTGTGTGTATGTGCTACCTGAATGGCCCACAGTCAAAGGAGGGTGGCAAGGTCATGATGGTGTAGACCACAGGCAGTAGACTGAGGAAGAGGATGAGGAGGAGGAGGCCCATGTAGAAGTTGTTGGATTTGGAGGCTTTGAAGACCCTCTCATGGGGCACGTTAGTGGCCATTACGGCCCAGCACTGGTAATACATGGAGGAGAGGAGACGCAGGACGTTTATCCCTACCAACCCTGGAGCATAGAACGCACCCATCCTGAAACACGCACACACACACGCACACACACAGGGTCAGTGAAGGGAATATGGAATATACTGTATGAGTTCTATAGTTTTGCAACCAGAATATAAATATCTCTTACCAGATCATTCCTTGGTTGAAGACCAGACCAAGAACGTTGCCACTGATGTCAAATTCTCCATATGATGGCTACAGAGGGAGATAAAATCCATATCACAAACAGTGGTTCAAACTTCTGCCTGGCAACAAAAATGTAGACCACTAGAATATCCCCACCAATAGACAAAATAAGACATTTGTAACAATGACAAGTGGAGCACGTACATATGTGGCTTCGAGGTCCCAGCACCAGCAGTAGTTGAGGAACCTGACAATGACAGCCCGCGCAAAGTCACCAATCAGGATGGTCAGGTAGGTCACCTGGATGTCTGACACGGTCAGCTTCACAAACTCCTGTCACATGATGAACATCACACACAGGGCTTTACAAAGGTACAGTACATACAACAGAAACAATGACCATATCACACCAGAGATGAGGATATCAGTAAGGTTCCGTTACTATGCCGACGGCGGTCTCCCAGCATGGCCCCCTGATGACATCAGAGGGGTCCATGGGGGGCGGGGTGACGTCCGTGTCATTGTTGTGGAGGGTGAAGTTAGCGTAGTATTCCTTCAGGGCCCAGATGGACGCATTCCTAATGGACACCTCCTCATCAAGCTGAGTGGAAGGAAGGAAGCCATTGAATCACAGGTCATCCATTTCAACGCACTACCCATTCATCCCAATGAAAATGCATCTCTCTGAGGAACATCATTCCTAAGAGTATGAAATCAATCCCTCACTACAGGATGCACTGTGTTGTTTACATAATATGTAACTCCACCATCCCAGTATGAAACCTTATCCTTCTCTTTGACGCTTTCATATTATCCCAAAAATGATCCTGTAATCCCGCTCTCAATGTAGATTTAAGATTAACAAGAAAGTGCTAATGTCTGGTAGTGGCCTGAAGTAGTGTGAGGCAGCCTTACAGTACCTTGTTGTTGACCTCATCAAACAGGGCAAACAGGAAAGTGTAGAGGTTTCCCAAAAAGAGGGCAAAGATGCGCCCCAGCTGCCATTTGAGGGCGATCCGGGGGTGGTACTCCTCCAGCTCCGCGATGGTCTCAAACAGGGGAGGACACACCAGGCCCAACAGGGACATGATGAGCTCCAACTACACAGTGGGACCATGGGAGGAATCATACCATCTCTCCACTACACCACCACTTTACACAACACCGTATGATCAAACATAGTTCAGTGATATAATAGAGAGGGACGTTTGTTTAGTTATTAATGAATGAGATAAAGAAGGCTACACTATTATGAGATAATATTACCATCATTTATTCCAAATAGAAACTGATTCCATTGGTTTCAAAGGATGTACTTAGCATCAACACCATTCTCCAAGCATTACCTCGTTTTTCTCGTACCAGCTCAGGTCGTTCCTGTTGGCAAACTCCTGGGACCTCTTCACCACGAAGAAGATGAGGTAGCCACTTCCTCCCAGGCAGCAGATGATCATGAAGTTGGCCAGCACACGCAGGAACCTCCTCAGGTGGATGTTCTCATCCTTTTGGTTCTCCTGCTCATCCACGATGGACTCCTGCACTCAGACAGACAGACAGACAGAAAGACAGTTAGCTTATGGGCCACTAACATGTTTCAGAAGTGATGTGTAGTTGGTGGGAAATAACATGTCATTATATTGGATTGAATACAGTAAAGAATACTCAGAAGAGCATAATTCAAAAGATCAGACGTTGTGATGAAGTTGTGAAAATAGTACACGGGTCTCCATGGTTACCTTGAAGCTGGTGGTGATGGAAGCGTACTTGTTGTCAGCCGTCTCGGCATTGCCGATGAGGTAATCCCAGCTGGTGAACATCTTCCAGGCAAAGGTGAACTCCCCGTCATCTCCGTCCCCTCCCCCCACATCAGCATTCTTAGCCATTCTATCAAAACATATAGGAATGACAGTGGGGAAAGGCCGTTATCCATTTTCAGATCAAACACCATGAAAAACTAAATTATTTATATATATTTGTTTATTTGGATCCCCATGAGCTTTTGCAGAAGCAGCAGCTACTATTGCTGGGGTCTATCTTGATGTGTTAAGCTGTGTTTTGACATACACTACCGTTCAAAAGTTTGAGGTCACTTAGAAATGTCCTTGTTTTCGGAAGAAACACATTTTTTTTGTCCATTAAAATAACATCAAATTGATCAGAAATACAGTGTAGACATTGTTAATGTTGTAAATGGCTATTGTAGCTGGAAACGGCTGATTTTTTATGGAATATCTACATAGGCGTTCAGAGGCCCATTATCAGCAACCATCAGTCCTGTGTTCCAATGGCACGTTGTGTTTGCTAATCCAAGTTTATCATTTTAAAAGGCTAATTGATAATTAGAAAACCCTTTTGCAATTATGTTAGCACAGCTGAAAACTGTTGTGCTGATTAAAGAAGCAATAAAACTGGCCTTCTTGAGACTAGTTGAGTATCTGGAGCATCAGCAATTGTGGGTTCGATTACAGGCTCAAAATGGCCAGAAACAAATAACTTTCTTCTGAAACTCGTCAGTCTATTCTTGTTCTGAGAAATGAAGGCTATTCCATGCGAGAAATTGCCAAGAAACTGAAGATCTCGTACAACGCTGTGTAATACTCCCTTCACAGAACAGCGCAAACTGGCTCTAACCAGAATAGAAAGAGGAGTGGGAGGCCCCGGTGCACAACTGAGCAAGAGGACAAATACATTAGAGTGTCTAGTTTGAGAAACAGGCGCCTCACAGGTCCTCAACTGGCAGCTTCATTAAATAGTACCCGCAAAACACCAGTCTCAACGTCAACAGTGAAGAGGCGACTCAGGGATGCTGACCTTCTAGGCAGAGTTGCAAAGAAAAAGCCATATCTCAGACTGGGCAATAAAAAGAAAAGATTAAGATATGGCTTTTTCAATTGCAAAAGGGTTTTCTAATGATCAATTAGCCTTTTAAAATGATAAACTTGGATTAGCAAACACAACGTGCCATTGGAACACAGGACTGATGGTTGCTGATAATGGACCTCTGTACGCTTATGTAGATATTGCATAGAAAATCAGCCGTTTCCAGCTACAATAGCCATTTACAACATTAACAATGTCTACACTGTATTTCTGATCAATTTGATGTTATTTTAATGGAGAATTTTTTTTTTGCTTTTCTTTTGAAAACAAGGACATTTCTAAGTGACCCCAAACTTTTGAACGGTAGTGTATGTGTGACATCTGATCATATTTTATAGGTGGGGGATTGGGTGGTGACTCACGTTCGTATCACCACCATCAGGCTGTAGCCAAAAGTCCCCACTCCTACCATGAGGTAAGACAGCGGGAGGCGGAACTTCAACAGCCCAATGGTCCTCTGGTTGTTGTAGTAACCATAGAAGAGGACTGAGTATTTGCAATACCCCTGAGAGAGAAAGAAGTGATCACAAGTGATGAACTGTGCTCTTATAGTGTACCGATAAACTGTGTCTTCTGATCTTCACAGGTGTCTCCAGACCCATGCTGATAATTTAAGTAGCACAATATGAAATATCATCACATTATATGAGCCTGAAATCTTTGATATGGTAATATTTGATAGGCTTTCATGCAGAGTAAATAGAGCGTAGCCTATTTCGACTGCATTGTTTAACCCACGTTGAAGTCCATGAGGACAGAGTAGTCTTGAGCAGTAGGCTGCTCAGCTCTGGGCACTGTCTTTCTGGGAATGGATCCATACGGAAGTCCCATCAGAACCTGGAGCCATAACACATTTCAATAATTATTGATAGACTACTAGAGTATACATTAGAGTTGTATCTATGTGTTAAAACTCTTTGTGAGGCGGTTTTACCTCTGGGATCACAACCAGTCCGAAGGTTAAGCCAAAGAGGACCATGTTCATGCCATACATCCAGCGCAGGAAGATGAAGTAGGAAGCAACAGAGGACCCAAAGTGACCTGAGGGGAGAGAAGTGACATATAGGGTTTCTTCACTAGGTGGTAGTGCTCAGCTGTCATTCAACTGGCCTTTGTCAATCAGCTCAGTATATTACTGTATCTTGTGTTGTGACCTGTGTTCTGGAATATTTTCAGTATATTGCTGTTTCTAAAGTGTGGAGTAGCAGGTAACTCACTTTCAACCTCTTTTATCTTTCGTTCCCATGGTATGCAAGTCGTTTTGAAATTTTCAAAATCTCTTTGGAATTTGATCCATTTCTGGTGAAAAAGAAAGACAATCAATATTATATCCTCATATTTTGACATCCACAAAAAGCTAAGTGGCAGGAAAGCATACATTGTGCTCATGGTTCCATACCTTCATCATCATGACTTTATAGGCATAAAACTTCCTGCCTTTTCCTTTTCCCAGAGCCCCTTCAAATTTATCTACAAATTCTTGGCATTCTCTGAGAACAAATCATGAGGTTAACAACAGAACAGCTACAGTCAAGCTCAAATAAATGGATAAAATTAACTAAAATATGAAATATATTCTGACAGGTGGTGTAGTAAATACTTTAAAATGGGGTAAAAAAAACACAGCTATGATCAATGAATACAGCAAATTATTATCTGAAAGTGTCTCAACTTCATCGTGACAGCATATGTCATTTGTCCAGTAGCCTATGCAAGTGCAATCAGTCAACACGTTCATTACTTCAGATATACCAGCCTCCTCTTCATTCGCCAGGGCTTGTTCCTCATAATAGCTATGACCTTCTTCTTCTCCTCCACCTCCTCCTTCAGTCGTTCCATCTCTCCCTCCGACATGGACTCCTCCTCTGAGTCTGCGTTAGAGTCTGTGTCTGAGCTGTGAGATAGATAGAGGAAGGGAGACAAGAGGGGAACAGAGAGAGCGGAAGACAGATCGTTAGGAGAGAGCGATCGAAGGGAAAGAGAGGTCAGTGATTGAGAGAGACAGAGAGTTAGAAAGGATGTCCTTCTATTTCTCTTGATGCAAGGGTAGCAAATATTGTTTAATACAGTTAAATAACGTATTTGGCCCATTATTTAGATTCCTGTGCTGTTTAGTACTACGCTTGGGCCCTGATTTCCACCAAGATACCTGCTCTCTTTCTTCTTTTTCTTCTTCTTGTCCTTCTCGTCTTCCTTCTCCTTTCCTTTGCCCTTCCCCTTGGCGTCTCCTTTCTTCTTATTATCTTTGGTCTCCTCTTCTTTCCCCTTCTTTCCTGCGGCTCCCTTCTTGTTTCTTTTGTTCCCCTTCTCCTCCTCACTGTCCTCCTCACTGTCCTGGGCCTTTCCTCCTTTCTTTTTGTTTGCTGCTCCTCCTCGTCTCCTCTTGGGGGCGTCATCCTCACTTTCATCGTCGATGTCACGTGACTTGGAAGCTTTCTTCTTATTGGCTCCTCTGCGGGTTCTGGGGGCCTCCTCTTCCTCCTCGTCCTCATCATCTTCATCGGCTGGCTTTTTGCCCCTGCCGCGGGCTCCTCCTCTGCCAGCTGCCGGTCTTCTGTTCCCTCTCCTTCGACTGGTGTCATCTGTATACAGTGAGGGAAAAAAGTATTTGATCCCCTGTTGATTTTGTACGTTTGCCCACTGACAAAGACATGATCAGTCCATAATTTTAATGGTAGGTTTATTTGAACAGTGAGAGACAGAATAACAACAAAAAAATCCAGAAAAACGCATGTCAAAAATGTTATAAATTGATTTGCATTTTAATTAGGGAAATAAGTATTTGACCCCTCTGCAAAACATGACTTAGTACTTGATGGCAAAACCCTTGTTGGCAATCACAGAGGTCAGACGTTTCTTGTAGTTGGCCACCAGGTTTGCACACATCTCAGGAGGAATTTTGTTCCACTCCTCTTTGCAGATCTTCTCCAAGTCATTAAGGTTTTGAGGCTGACGTTTGGCAACTCGAACCTTCAGTTCCCTCCACAGATTTTCTATGGGATTAAGGTCTGGATCCTGGCTAGGCCACTCCAGGACCTTAATGTGCTTCTTCTTGAGCCACTCCTTTGTTGCCATGCTGGAATACCCATCCACGACCCATTTTCAATGCACTGGCTGAGGGAAGGAGGTTCTCACCCATGATTTGACAGTACATGGCCCCGTCCATCGTCCCTCTGATGCGATGAAGTTGTCCTGTCCCCTTAGCAGAAAAACACCCCCAAAGCATAATGTTTCCACCTCCATGTTTGACGGTGGGGATGGTGTTCTTGGGGTCATAGGCAGCATTCCTCCTCCTCCAAACAAGGCGGGTTGAGTTGATGCCAAAGAGCTCGATTTTGGTCTCATCTGACCACAACACTTTCACCCAGTTCTCCTCTGAATCATTCAGATGTTCATTGGCAAACTTCAGACGGGCCTGTATATGTGCTTTCTTGAGCAGGGGGACCTTTGCTGGCGCTGCAGGATTTCAGTGCTTCACGCCGTAGTGTGTTACCAATTGTTTTCTTGGTGACTATGGTCCCAGCTGCCTTGAGATCATTGACAAGATCCTCCCGTGTAGTTCTGGGCTGATTCCTCACCGTTCTCATGATCATTGCAACACCACAAGGTGAGATCTTGCATGGAGCCCCAGGCCGAGGGAGATTGACAGTACTTTTGTGTTTCTTCCATTTGCGAATAATCGCACCAACTGTTGTCACCTTCTCACCAAGCTGCTTGGCGATGGTCTTGTAGCCCATTCCAGCCTTGTGTAGGTCTACAATCTTGTCCCTAACATCCTTGGAGAGCTCTTTGGTCTTGGCCATGGTGGAAAGTTTGGAATCTGATTGATTGATTGCTTCTGTGGACAGGTGTCTTTTATACAGGTAACAAGCTGAGATTAGGAGCACTCCCTTTAAGAGTGTGCTCTTAATCTCAGCTCATTACCTGTATAAAAGACACCTGGGAGCCAGAAATCTTTCTGATTGAGAGGGGGTCAAATACTTATTTCCCTCATTAAAATGCAAATCAATTTAGAAATTTTTTGAAATGCGTTTTTCTGGATTTTGTTGTTGTTATTCTGTCTCTCACTGTTCAAATAAACCTACCATTAAAATTATAGACTGACCATTTCTTTGTCAGTGGGCAAACGTATAAAATCAGCAGGGGATCAAATACTTTTTTCCCTCACTGTAGATACACACACACACACAAATGTATGCGCGAGAACACACATACACACACACAACAGCTCAACACATGCAAAGATATACACGTTTTAGTACAATGTAAAAAAAACACACTAATACAGTTAGAGCTGAAGCTTTTTAAATATCAGGTCAATTCTAACAACCAGTGTCTGTAGTTGTCTGCCTTATTCACAGAGAAAGACACAACTATCTCTGTGTTATACTTACCCTCACTGTCACTCACATCCCCATCGATTTCGATTCCAACTGAATGAACGCAAACAAATAAATGTCCACTACTCATTCAAACATCTCTAAAATGGCCCAGCATGAATCTATAAAGGAATTTTGCATTTGCATCTCATATTAGTCTTTATATCACCTCAAAGCCAGAGCATAAAAACATTTACAACTGAGATTCTGAATCTCAACTCACCATCCTCAATCTTCGCCGCCACATCACTCTTCCTAGGCATGGTGGTTGGCGTGAGGTATTCTCTGAAGGTACTGGGACTTTAACTCTCTCTTCTTCCCTGACTGTGCTCTGTAACTCTGGACTGAATGCACCTACCCCTGCTCAGGTACTCAGAGCCAGAGCTCAACCGGGACCTGTACCTCGCTCCAGTAACTAACTCCCCATCACTATGACAACTACAGCATGTGACCTGCCTCCATAGGTGTTATAACCGAGACAAATTAGTTTGTCTCGGTTATAACACTGCAGACATCAAGGAGTGTGTAACTTAATCACAGCAACAACAACAAAAACGTTCCAGCATGATCTGGTGGAGGTTTTCTTAAATAAAACCCAGAGAGAACCTGAGGAACCATTTCAGTGGACAGCATCTGTGTCAGACAGAAGATTTAGGGAGTGGACCTTCTCTATGGTCCATATAGCAGCAGAAGGACCAGGACATTTAAACAGTTAGAGACACTCTCACTCGTCTGGACATCAGACACCATGACAACACACAGACCAAGACGGACAGCCTTAAAGATTTAATGAAGGTTTAGGTTTCCTTTTCAAGACCCATTAGGCAAACCTCAAACACATTATACACATCTTACATATTAAATGTGTATTGATACACAAACTACAGAATATTGGAGGACTATTGCCCACAATGACGGAGTGAGAATATACAGCGGTATGTGTAGTAACATATACAGTACACACACAAAGATACAGAGTACACACCTCTGAGCCTGTCTGCCCCCATTAAATAATGGAGAGGAGCTCATCTTCCACAGCCAAAACTACACCATTACACGCTCATCAGCCCTGTCAAGTAGAAAACACACACACAAGCACACATGCATAAAACATTGCATCTATCACCAGTATAATTTTAAAAAAACTTGCAATCATAATATTACAATCTCATTTTTCCAACCAATAATATTCCAGAAATTATTCCACCTTCAATTATAAAAGTAAAACCCCCAGATCATCATCAACAGCTTTCATGCAAACGTAGTCATCATTCCATTTTTGAAACTTCCGTGTTTCAAAATTACTCAGATCATTTGAAATCAATATTTAATGCATTTGTCCATGAATTGTGCATGAGTATTTAATGTTAATGCATCTAGTCTGGAGGATACAGTAATATCACTTTAAGGGGAAGTTTCCCCATTTTTTGTTGTGTTACAGAGAAAATTGTTTTTCACATTTTGCTGAGTCATCACTTGCCATTGACTATAATGCCATATGCAAATATGTCTAAAGCATATTAGAAAACACTCTAAAACACTCCACACCAACTCATATTAGGCCTAAATCAGAATCCCATTCTGAATGATGTCTCTGCACTATTTATATTTATTTTGTGTTCCACTGTGCCATAAACTCATGTTTGAATTATGCTGTTTACAACTACAACAACAACTACAAAAATAATATGCAAATATGGATTTATGGGACAGTGGAACATTTTAAAAAACAAAATTGTGCAGAAACATCATTCAGAATGGCATTCTGATGTAATAGGAGCTGGTTTGGAGTGTTTTCTAACATACTTTAGACACATTTTCATAATGCATTGTAATTAGCAAGTGATGACCAATTTTCTTTGTAATGAAACAAAATATAAAAATATGGTTTTGGGGATCAACTGCAATCTCAAAAACAGTGAAAATAAGTCTATATGTAAAATTGTCAGACAGGACAGGAGGAATGTATAGTCTGTGCAGAAATAAACACTACAATCATGTAAAGCAACTCAGTCAATGGATATCACAAGTTCTTGAAAAGACAAAACAAATACACGGTTTGTATGCCCGTTTTGCAGGGGAATATAGCTCCATGTTACCTTGATTTGTGCACAAATCAGCAAGGAACCTAGATCTGATAAGGTGGCGACGAAAACAAATGATCCATCAGAGCAGTCTCCAGCCTGTCACCTACTGGACAAGAGGGATATTAGCGTTGGTCTTGTGACAATCTCCCGTGGGCACCCAGTTGACCAAATGACACAAGATTTTACTTCTGGGTTAATGGAGATTAGTTTTGTGAATAAAGTGGTGTTTTGTTTGAGCATAATCCAGAACATTTAGAATTGCTTTGCAATCCTAAAAAATAATGGCTCATGCTTTGAAGTGTGAGGAAATTCTATTTGTGTAAAATAAAAAGTACCTCCCTGTATTTCATGCCTCCCTGTACGGCCTGTTATTCTTAGCCTTGTCATAACTGTGTCACATGACAAGGACAAACAGTGTTTCTCACCACTTAATGATATATTGTAATAGTGTACAATTGATTGATATTACTGATCAACCAATACAACTTACTTAGGAACGGACAAGCAGGTATATTAGCAGGTAGAATAGCCAATAGACAAATAAACCTATTATGTGACTTGTAACGTAGGTACAAATGTTTATGCTCTGTCAGCAGTGATGTAAAGTACTTAAGTAAAAATATTTAAGTAGTGTTTTGGGGTATCTGTACTTTACTTGAGTATTTATATTTTGACAACTTTTACTTTACTACATTCCTAAAGAAAAGTATGTACTTTTTATTCCATACATTTTCCCTGACACCCAAAAGTACTCGTTACATTTTGAGGACAGGAAAATTGTCTAATTCACACACTTATCAAGAGAACATCTCTGGTCATCCCTACTGTCTCTGATCTGGCGGACTCACTAAGCACATGCTTCGTTTGTAAATGATGTCTGAGTGTTGGAGCATGCCCCTGGCTATCCGTAAATAAAAAAACTAGAAAATGATGCCGTCTGGTTTGCTTTATATAAGGAATTTTAAACAATTTATACTTTCACTTTTACTTTTGATACTTAAGTATATTTTAGCAATTACATTTACTTTTGATACTTAAGTATATTTGAAACCAAATACTTTTAGACTTTCACTCAAGTTGTATTTTACTGGGTGACATTTTCCATTAAGGTATCTTTACTTTTACGCAAGTATGAAAATTGGGTACTTTTTCCACCACTGTCTGTCAGAGAACTGGCAATCACAAGAGGTCCAACTCATTGCCCAAAGATTTCTCTCTCCCGCATGGTGTTTGGGGGCCTTTTATAGTAATCCACAGGGTGCCTACTGTGACTGTGACCCGTGGGTTGTTCTGTAGCTGAACACGTGCAGCTTGTTTTAGGCTGATTATGCCTGCCTGCCTGCCCGACAGTGTGCATCTAAACATACTGTACTGGTGGAAGCTGGGGGTGAGTATTTAATGTGAGAGAAGGCCACGCAGCTGCAAATCAGGTTGCCAGTCTCTATATTTACCCATAGGCAGAGACACACAGGGGTGTTGTCAGTCATAATGTAAGTAAACTAATGTATGTTCCTCTAACTCTCCTGAATGACTATTGTCAGCAGTAATCATGCACCTATGAACCTGAGATATACTATTAGCACTGAGGTGGTTTTCCCTAGTAGGAAGCCCATTGTGAGCAGTTCACCCTGCACTATCAGATCAATACAAATATCACTGTCATGTCTACCTCAGATAAGCCTCCCAGTAAAGCAATTAAAAACAATCAAGCAACCCAGAAAAGTGCTAAAGATAGGCCACATTAACATATTACAAGGTTAATGAAATAGATAACTTGCTAGCAACAGATAACATTCATATTCTGGCTCTCTGAAACTCACTTAGATAATTCCTTTGATGATACAGTGGTAGCAATTCATGGTTCTAACATCTACAGAAGAGACAGGAATAACAATGGGGGAGGTGTTGCTGTTTATATTCAGAGTGATATTCCTGTAAAGTTTAGAAAGGATCTCATGTCAAATGCTGTTGAAGTAATATGGCTACAGGTTCATCTTCCTCACCTAAAGCCTATTCTTGTGGGAAGTTGCTATAGACCACCAAGTGCTAACAGTCAGTAGCTAGGTTTCCATCCAATTGGTGACATATTTTCATGCAAATATTCTAAAATCTGCATAAAGAAAATATGCGCATTTTCCCACCAGTGGTGTGTTTCCACCAAACTGACTTGTTTCCATCGCATTTTCAACTCTACTGATAGTTTTGTCACAAAAACAGTTGTGTTAAATAGCAAATGTGCCTACTCTGGTCTTGGCATGTGCGATCTAGCCAACAGCTCCCAGATACAGTTCTGGTAGGCTAGTCTACATGATGAGATTATGACTAAAAGACTGATCTTTTTACATTGTCGAAACGTCAGTCAAGCGTCGATCATCATGTCACCAGAATAAGTCCCTCGATATGAGAGCATCAAGCTCATACCATCATTTGACCCTCTTCTCACGCTCACATGCCACCACACCTCTTATATCTCAGGCATGGAAAAGTACTGCATTTACTTTTCTAATTAGTCCACTGTATAGTCAGTGCATTAACGTTTCAACTGTGCTCCAAATCGTTTTGAAATCGTAGCATCTGCGCCTGCAATTTAACATCACGAGCAGAACCTCTATCATTGTCCTGTTTTATCACACTGTGAATCGAGGCACATTGAAGCATATGATTGGTCTAGTTATGTAAGGGATCAAGGGGATTGGATGCACGTTTTAAAGAAGGGGGGGGGGCAGATTTTTGGTTAGGGTGTAGGGGCAGATTTATGTAATCTTGTCTTCAGAACATTTGATCTACTTACTTTATTTAGTCTGATCAGCGGAACAATTCTCATTCTTAACAATGGGCTAACTAAAGGGTAACTAGTGTGCTTGTCAGCAAGAACACTACTGTTATTCCCCACACTTATTTTATTATTCCACTTCTTCCCAAGTTTGCCAGTATAATCACATATTTGAAATCGGACTTAATTGATTATATTAGGCTATGTATTTTTGCAGCCGTTCATGGACATTTTTGAATAAGTCATAAAAATAAGCATTGGCTATTGAATGCTCCATCCCTCATGCTGAGATGCTATTCATTGACTACAGCTCAGCATTCAACACCATAGTGCCCTCAAAGCTCATCACTAAGCTAAGGATCCTGGGACTAAACACCTCCCTCTGCAACTGGATCCTGGACTG